GAATGTTTATGGTTCCACCTTACCTAGATCAGGTATATTGCCAAATCTAGGTATGCCAAGCTGGTAGAGACCTGTCTCAGCAGACTCACTGAGGTACACAATGGCTGCCAAAAGTACTTCTGTCAGGTATTAACTCAGGGGGTGGAGGCTTATTCAATTATATTTCATTTTTATAACCTTTTTGCCCCAATAAAAACCTTTTCCCCTTTTAAGCATGGATTTCGGCAAAATGTGAAAAGGTTCAAGAGGGTATAGACTTTAGAAGTACTGTTTACTTATGGATGAAAACATGTACATCTTTTGCTTAAAGTTTAAAATGCCAGGTGCTTTAATTCACACAGGTATTACAGATATGGGAAGTTTCTGCTTAAAGCCCATTTTCAGCCACTAACATCTGAATCTAAAACTGAGGCAGAATGCGAGTAGGGAAAAAAATCCAAACATCTTCTGGAAAACAAAAGCTCAAAATGAAATATGCAAATGTCTTCTTATTACTACTTTGGAAATACCTTTGTAAATAAAAGCACTATTCACTGAAATAACAGAAGGGTTATAATCCTTTTCACTAAAAGGTGCGTTTGTACACCAGCCTCCTCAATGCCACAACACATTGGCCAAGGGTGAAGACGTGTCCTTATAAATACTAAAAAGAGCTCCATTCAATTTAGTTTTTCAGTTTTAACATAACTAAACTATTCATTCGACTACCAAAGAAATTAGCGTTGTTCAAGGCCTTAGTTTTATGGAAAACATTCGTTTTCTTTGCCAAAAGTGACTTCACAGCTTGCCCAGAGCCAGCAGCAACCTCAATTCCACACGGAATCAGCCGTCTTCATAGTGCAAAAGAACTCGCGAACTGCTAACAGTTCTGTATGACAAAGGCTCTTCAGTGCAAGTACTAAGCAAATAATGTCAACTGTGAAACTCTGCATCTGCAAAAGGAAAAGCTAACTACCACCACCTTAAGAAGCCCCCCTAAGATCTAAATCCAAAAGCTCAGCCCTCTTAGTAAAATTCTGGTAAAAGCTGCAAAGAGCAATCTTGTGCTTTTCTAACTGCTCTACCGTGAAGGTGCCGACTGTTGGGAAAAACAGATAAATGGCAACTGGCACTTACTGCAGGTCAGCGTCCTCCTCCATACCTGTATCACTCGGCGTTTCAGCTCCTTCTGTGAATTAAGTCATTTTCACCCCACACCCTTCTTTAAAATGTACTGATGTCAATACAGGATACTACACAATGAGATCTATCATGCATATCATCTGCCTCTTGGCTTCAGTCAGCTATTCTCCTGCAGCCACAATGGGTTTCGCATTGGGGTTTACAGGCCTGTTCTTACAGTCTCAAGATGGGATGGGCAACTCCAGCTCTCTGTGGCCATAGTCCTGCACAATTCTATGGGTACCTGTCAATGGGCGACTGCTTCAAATGTAAACTTTTAGATGCCTACAAGCTGTTGAATGAAGGAAGAGCTGAGGTGGAACGAAAATGAGCAGACGTCATGGCTCTCAAAGGACTGCAGCTGCCCTGGTCCCGCCTGGCATGTGCAGCACTGAGGCTGAAATAACTCTTCACCAACTCCTAGAAAAAGAAGCCTTTTCATTGACAAGATATTGCAGAGAAAGTCAATATGCAAAACACAGGACGGCATTATAAAAGACAGCTTACACGGGTGTATGGAAACAAAAGCAGAATAAATAATCGTTAAATTGTCTATTTGATCCTCAACTCCCCCACCCCTCATTGCTTGAGTCCATCAATGTAAAGGACAAGAAATGCTGACAGCTCAAATATTAACAAGTGACCGCCCGTTTTAAAGAGAGGTCACGTCTTTTAGCACCAAGCACCCATACATGGTGGACTATTTACAGCTAGGGTTAAACCTATTCAATTTTGTCCAGTTCAATACTGGAAACTCAATACTTGAAAACCAAACTGAAACGTCTCTTGCAATGAAAACTGGAAAGATTATTACTGAAATTGCAAGTTTATTCCAGGACACTGCTGCACACTACTTGTCAATGAAAAAGAAGACCTCTCCAGAGCGGTTTCTAAGGGGAGCACCACATGTTTCAAGTGAGGAATGCATCACTTACTCAGCCCCAGTGCTGACAAAACCAAACTCAGCACTCAAAAACCAGGCATGGCGTACTTTTTCCCCAAACAAAACACCTAGTGAAATTTTACATTTACAGCTTCATCATCACATTAACGTCATCACTTATAATGGGGGGAAAAAATAACTGCAAGAAGAAAATGCCTTTTATAGTACTTTCAATTCATACATTTTTTCAGTACTATGCACGTTAAGGAGAAACCAGCTTCTGTGTGCACTACTTGTCCGTGTGTGCATTAGGCTAATCCTGTTGCTGAACAGAGCTGAAGTTTGTTTGTTGATTTGAGAGTAGATGGTGAGACATGGACCAACCATGTGGAAAACAGGAGGACTAAATTGTACTGCATACTAAATACTTTAAAGCAACTCCTTCCCTTGTGGTAAATTTAATCAATAAAGGGACATAGTTGTGGATCATTATGAACTTTGGAATAACTCATAGCAACCAGTACACAGTAACCTAACATAAGTGCAGTTATGCCTTGTGTAGTAAGGCTGGGCATGACTCTAAAAACCATTAATAATTTTCATGGAAAATTTCCATGACCTAGCTCACGTTTAAGGAGAAAAACTTTCAGCCAGCTTGGCTCCGTTTAAATATTTATAATAACCTCAAGAAATACGAAAGAGAGGTAGGACAAAAAAGTATGAAGGACAAGTTTGTTTAGATTTTGAAGGGTTTTTATATGCTTAGTTTTTCCAATTAATGGCTTTTATATGAGAGCTAATACTTTTTTGCCATTCTAAATGTCACCCATATTTTGTTTTGCTAAATACTTCATAGCAATACAAACATATCTCCAGAAATCTGTACATTTACTAAATTTCACATGCTTAGAAAATTGTCGGCAATCTTTATCTGAAACGTATCACAAAATCCCTTTTATTGGCCTAGTAGTGATGTGGGAAAATTGAAAAACTCCATACCTGATAAAACACAGCTAACCAGCAAAATGTACTGAAAAAATGCACAAATGGAAAATAAAGGCAGGGAATCATGCCTTGCAATGAACACACTCCATTATAAGTGATATCTGTTGATGTAACCCATGTTAAAAATCAAACAAAATTTGGGCCATGCACATTCTACGACGACCCAAAAGAACAAAACCTGCAAAGCCCTGAGGCCAGTTTCAATCCCAGGATTTGACAAGGTAATGACAACTGCAGGCAGAAGAATAAGTGACTGAGTTAATGATTTAGAAGGCTTATAGTTTAAAGCTTCCGTCCGCAAATTTAATACTCGGCACTTCATTGTTTGTTTTCATATTCCAATTTTTTCCACAGTTTATTCAGTCTAAAAGGAGTATAAAATAATAAAAACATCTCCATCAAAGCAACTTTATACTTTATATTTAAAGCTACATGTCTGGTCACACTACTCCAGGATATGTGAAAGATTCGAATTTAATTTTACACATCATTCAAAACAATGACTGTGACAAAAAATGAAATCAGAACATGGAAACAGACAAGGAAACTTTGTCTCGTGACCAAAAGATCTTTAAGCAAATCAATTTATCTGTGGTTATATACAAATATTACTTTCCATGGTTTAAATACAGATTGGATTAAAGAAGTAATTAATAACACATGGTATACCTTAGGATTTTGATCTATTTACTCACACAGACATCATGTTAACCATGTCAGGCCAGCCCTTACACAAAATGCCCTCTGCATCATCATGTGTGCTGCGATAACATCTTGCAGGCTTATCTATCACATAAAATCAATTAATCTTTATAACTGTAGTGCTGCCACCAATTTTGTTAAGGGCGTGGTTTAATACTTTACCCTGAAAACATTACCAAACATAAGCATTAAACACACAAAACTGCTTTTTATACAGGTACACCAGTCATAAAACTAAGTCTCTCATCACCATTCCCCAGAGTTAAAAGAACCTGCCAGCTTCTCACGGTACCGGAGAGGAACTATAACCAAATGAACTGTCCCGATTGTTTCCTCTATTACACCCACCTTTGAAAGGGAAAAACGTTCATTTCACAAGAAACAGCCAATGTGTTTCGTGTGAGGAACATTCAAATAACCTGAATTTCAAAGCCTGTAATCACAAACAACAAATGGTGTAGTAAGTAAAGGTGAAGTCCATGCTCAAATTCAGACATTCTGTTAAGCTGTCCTCAGCTGTGCTTAAATCCTAAGAGCCAAAATGTGTTTCTTTCTTTATACATGTCAGCATGGAATTAACCTTTAGTTGTTCCTACACACTGAAGCCTCTTCCCGGTGTAAAATAGTGGCAGAATCAATGACTTCGGAGTTCTTGTACTTCTCCTTATCCACTACCTTCAGAAGCAGGCTGGAGTCTTTCCAGGATTGGGAAGAGACATGGGCAAAGCATCTCAGGGATAGATGTTTAAAGAGAATATTATTCTGCAGAAAACAGGATGTACCGCATAAAAATCAATTTTGTCTGTTGTGCTGGTAATATTTTTTACCTTTTTCAGAATACAGGTAGTTAATCTCAGCGTGAGTAAATAAAATCTTTTTTTCCCCAAAAAAATGCCAATTGTAATTAAACATTTATGAAATCTTTATCAGTGCGCTGCAGCCAGAATCAAGGACGCTTCTGCCCGCATTTAACAATAAAAATGAAGAAATGTGCATTTTCCCCTCTATTAAAAGTAATTAGAATTAAACACTTATCAGTGGGTAAAAAGGTGCTTCTCAACTATACACAAATTCATGCAATATTACATTCTAAAAAGTACTTCACAATCACCTTCTACCAGAAGAGTTTAACACGTAAGTAAAATCAATACAACATGTGTTAATCCTTAAGAAATCATTTCATTATGGTTCCAGAACTAAGTGATGAGCATCACAGTGACTGTGTGCATGTTGCACTCTCAAGACTTACTCTGCTTTTGCTCCTTGCAATAAAAGAGCATTAATACACTCCATGCTGCCAGAGCGGGCTGCCTTGTGAATTGGGGTTTCACCCACGTAATCCTGCAAAGAAAAGACAAACACTTTCAGGACCCAGCTGGTGTTCCCTTTGAGGACCGGAGCGCCATGGTGTTAGAGGGTGGCTGCTCTTCCCAGTTTGTCACTTCTGAATGAGCTTGTCCACTTTCACCTCTGTTGTCTGCCTGCTGTCTAATTTCACCCATACTTCTATTGGCAATACTCAACATTGTAACTGCGCTGACAACCGTTACATGCGGATGATGCATCACATTTTTCCAGCCTTATGTGCTAACTCTTCTTCATAGACCTGGTGCTCCATCAGGGTATGAAACCAATTTCTCCATGTCTGTAAAGGAGAAACCCATCTGCCTGCCTGCCTTTCCTCCTTTCCCATCCCAGTGAAATATTTTAATAACATTTTTAAGCTGGTGGATGCAGACTTGAACAGATAAACACACTGTCCCAATTCTTTACCTTGCTGTCTGTCCCTGTGAGGACCGGGCTAGAGACTCCATACTAAAATCTCTTCTAATATGGAACGGGAAGTCACCATGTGCCACCACCATCATCTTTTCGTATCACAGTTCTGCAAGGGACATAACTCTTCCACATTTTCAAATTGACTTCTATTCCTTTGTTTTGCAAGTCAAATAATATGCATGTCTGAACTGTCAACAGAAGTACCTGGAATGTCAATGCACTACATATAAAAAGTAGAATGCCAACAGGCAATACACAAGGGCTTCAATAAAGCACAGATTCTTTGCTTGCATTAAAATGTCCAAATCTGGCCATTTTTGCTGATTGGAGAGGATAGTTCAGCACTTCCAATTATAGATCAGCAGCTGATTCTTATTTGACAATTTTGCAGTATATCCTTACAGATCTTTTGCTGCCGATAAAAGCCATCTTTAAATTATAAGACGGACAGCAAAACAATGGTTAAAAACAGTAAGGTCATGGAATTACGACCCTGTAGGCTGATCTTGTCAAATTTTACAAGCTAAACAAGGCTAGCCCTGCTAGCCCTGGTCAGTACTGGAACAGGAGACCTACAGGATAGGCCAGATTGCTGCTGCAGGGAGTGCTAGTTAACCAGTAGGTGGCACTCTTCCCCCTCAAGCAGAATTTCCTCACCAATGCATGTTATAGAGACAGTGGACATTGTGCTGCAGTACGTGCTGGACGTTGGATAACTTATCAAACTGAAGTCCTGACTACCAGGTTACTAAAAATCTTATGGAATTCTTTGAAAGAGCAGAGATGTTTACTCCAATACTGGGGACAATCAGCAGCCTAAAAGTCCCCTGTAACTAATGATGCAGTTTCTGAGTTCTTTTGCCATGTAGTGGGGCTGCTGGTGCACAATGGCTACTGAACAGCTTTGTTGATGGATTACGTGGGTCCCTTCCAATTTGTAATACATTGGGATTCTTAAGAATCACTATTCTGTGAACACTGCATGCTTTCCACCAAATGTATGGCACCTTAGTTGTGTGAAGAGCCAAATCCCATGTTTCAAGATCACAAAACCGTATCGTAAATCTACATCACCTGTCAAAAAGCAGACCTTTACTCCTGCAGGTGTCTACAACAGGGTTGCCCAGTGCTGGTCCTAGGGGGCCAGTAAGTTTTTGAGGTTTCATTTCAGCTTGGCTCCTAACAAGCTACCCCAGTGTGTTACTGGCTTAAGAGGACTGATTTAGCCGCTTCTCCCATCTCTTTAGGCATTACTGCTTTTAACAGACCTTGAAAACCTGCAGACACACCACCCCCCTGGCACCAGGACTGTCACCTCTGTGGTAGGAGGAAAAACGTTCCCTTTTTCAAACCCCATGTCTTGTCGGGTGGCCATAAATACTGCACCATTAAAGCAAATTAGTTACTGCCCCCCTGACCAGGATCCCTGCCTCAGGGGCTGCAGTGCAGAACCGAATGGCGATTACTCTCCATTTGCTGGAGTGAAAAACGGCTGCAAAATCAGCTCTGCACAATGACTGACCCCAGGAGACAAGGAGCGTGCAATTACAATGGAGTCAGGCCTGGCCTTGCTCAGCTCCCCATCCTTCTGCGGTTCATCCAGTACAACGGAAAGAAGATATAACTCCATCACTGCTGAAACACTCAAAAACATATACACTGCCCCAAATACATGGAGTATACATAGATCAAATAACACTTTCACACTTGCAGTCTTACCTGACATGGGGATACAGCTAAAAAACACCTTAGATGAGAAACTTACCTTTAAAGTACAATTTATTTCTCCACTGTAACTTAAAGCAATGACTTTCACGAAACTTATTTGGCGCAACATGAACTCGCTAATTTCAGACAGACTTCTCAGAATTGATTTAAATACTTAAGGATGCACCTTCCTCACACATGGCCCCTGTTATGAGCTCAGACAAGCTTTTCTCTTTCGGCAGTCTGAGCATTTTCCAGAGCTAAGGGGTGGACTTAAACTGCCTGTCTGAAGAAAGAGCCCGGGTTTCTCCTGTGAAGCCTTCTTGGCTCCAGACCTGCAGCTGAGCCTTTCTAATTGGATTGACTTGTCTCACGGCCTCAGCCATTTTCATTTGGAAACCACAAACCGAGCAGCAGGGATGTTTCAGTTTGAACCTGGCATCCCTAATCAAACTCCACACCACAGTGTACAAACCTTACGTGCCAGTAGGACACAATCATCCCACTAATAATACACACTCGTACCCCGATATCCGAACCCAATGCGTTCCTTCCTGTTCGAATGGCAGGAGATCGTAAATCGAAAATAAAAATTCCATTATTTCTTGTGGGGAAAATTCCACCCCATTCCAAACCACAGACAAGTTCACTTAAAAAACACTCTAAACATATCATACCTTACAGACCATTAAAGTCTGTAGCAAGCAAGCTTAGTGAACAATGCAGTTCTACTCTAATAAGCCAACTATAGCTGTAAAATAATTGATGATATATCATATTTACATTTTTCATTATCCTATCCAAGCGATCGACTAGAACGATGTGCCTACTGTTGTCGACTATTACGCCAAAGAGTTGCCAAAATACATAAAATACTTGAAACAAGCAAACTCTTCCTTAGGGCCCATACAAAATATCCACAAAACAACACTTTGAAAATAAGAGCACAAGCTGGGATCATAAACAAAGCACTGCTGCCTCATGGCACCCTTAGCCACAAAGCCTTGTGGCCACGCAGAAACAAGCAGCTGTTCGGTGGCGCTGAATTCAGATGTTCTCGGCAAAAGTCGGTCACTTACAAACGTCAAAGTTCGGATTAGGGAAATTTTGTTCTTATAACGAATTACAAGGTACAAATTCTTCACGCTCGGATTAGCGAAAATGTGAATACCAAACGTTTTTGTACCGGGGAACGAGTGTACTATGAGGTCTATGAGAAAACAAGTCACTAAAATGCACCTAAACACCTGAGTATCTTTAACTGGAGTAGCCATGGATGTACGATAGGCTAATTGAGCCTTTGCTCAAGGAAAAACTGCTCATTCCAGGCGAGGGCTGCAGTAACACGGACTTATCCGGGAAACACCGCGCACCAGGCAGGATAACTCCCGGGACAGGAAACCAGTCCATGGCAGGGAGCAACCCAGGTCAATTTAGATACGTGAATTAACCTAGACAACACGCATTTAGAAGGTGAGATGAAACAGGAGCAACCAGGCGAAACCCACGCAGGCCTGAGAAGAACAAGCAAACTCCATAACCGAAAACAGGAACCAAGACAGGTGGGGCAGCAGAAGTAACTGCTGAACTATGCTGCCGCCTGGAATATGGATTTTTACCGTCCGATTATTTCAAACGTAACAATTGTAAAACGTGAAATGCGACGTGGCAAGGCCGCCAGGCTTGCGGGCCACCGACGTCTTTCCCGAGCGAGGTCGGAACCGGCCCGGTCCGCTCTGCCTCCCGCCCGCGGGCCCTTACCTGTCTGTTAATGTCAGCGCCAGCTTGCAGCAGCCACAGCAGGCACTCTGGGTGGCCCCCGAAGGCAGCGATGTGGGCCGGGGTCTGGGCGAAGCGCGTGGTCGTGGCGTTCACCCCACTCCCGACGCCCACCAGTTGCATCACGCACTCCAGCTGAGAGAGAGAGAGAAAGAGAGAGAAAGAGACGCAGGGTGAGCGCACGAACACCTCCGGGCCAGCTCCGCGCAGAGACCAGGGCCAGACCGAGACCGGGCAGAACTGCAGCTCCGCGCATATTAGTGACGAGGAGAACAGATGTTCTTCTTCAGCCTTCAGACTCCTAACTGTAGCAACACAGCCTAAACATTTCCTCTTCCTACTTCCCAGTGTCGAATTATCCTCTACCTGTTCTTTTGTTGCTCTCCCCTCAAACCCCTTGGTGCTTTTATTGTGGCAAAGTTGCGATTCCGGCCTGTCCAGTCCTGTCCTGGAAGGCCAGCGTGTCCAGCTCAGCTGTAATTGGCGTACGTCAGCCTAGAATGATCCATACGATCGATCTGACTTCAGCTACAGGTGCTTTAAAGGAAGATGCCTGGCATACCTGCACACACCCCGAAATGTGGACGATTTTTTCATGGCGTTCTACGATGTTAAAAAAAAAGCTGCCGTGATTTAATTCTGATCCATACCGAACAGACCATTTAAAAATCTGCCACGAGCCACTGTGGGGCGACAGATCAGACCACACGTTTCCCCGCAGAAGCAGTTCTGGCTCCAGAGGGCCACCCCTAACGTAGGGCTGAACAAACACGATAAAAGCAAAGTCAACAGCAGCTTGTGCTCTGCTCAGCATAGAGCTGGTAGGCATCAATATGTCACAAATTGGAATTGTATTGTTTTTTTTTCCAGGGCCTCCTGTATCGTGACATTGTTATTTTCCAATAAATCTTACCACAGAATGCAGAGCTTGCTGCCAGGAGCTGGAGGCTATCTGAAAGACATTACTCATGATGATTCAATGTGACAGCAAATCCAGTTAGGGTGTCACCCCATGCCCACAACGCAGCTCTTTCACTTCATGTGCAAACGTTCTCTCGCTGATAGGCAGGCGAGCTCCTCACATTAAACACATCATTTCATATAACATCAAACTTTCACCAGGTTAAAACGATCAGCTCCGAAGCACAGAAAAGCATGGAGGAAGCAGGAGAAAAAAGAGACTTAGACCAGTCTGTAGCAAGAGCCTGAAGCTGAAGGTTCATGCAACAGAGTTGATGCCTCAGTGCAACATGACAATTACGGTTTCAAGGTACTGGTTTTTACGTGGCAAGGTTCAAAAGCACAGGAAAAAAACCTTCAGTACTGTGTACTCTCTAGTAAGCATATTGATTCTGAGTGCTTCTTTAAGGATCAAATAAAAGCTTACATTTCGCACTGACCAGATGTAATGCAGTAATAAAAGAAGCTGCTCTTTTATATAAATCCATTTCACCTTCTTTACAAGTCCCAGGGCTTAGCACTTTCTACACCATATGCTGTGCCTCGATCATAAATAGTGGCAAGAACAGAACAGGGGGTGTCCGTTACCAAAACTGAGGTTTATAAACTGTTCCTAGAGCTTTCTTCACTTTGAAACTCAATAGAACCTACCAGTAAAACTGGCTGTGTGGTATATGGCACTACCATGAATTAAATATTTTCACTGCACATAAACTGAACATCAGAGTACAGTAAAACACTCATGCAGAAGACTGAGGTATGAGTCTATACACTATGGTCTTCAAACTTGTCTGCAATTTGATTTATATGGCTTGTATGCATTAAAACATCAATACAGGCGAGGTTAATAAGTAACACTTGCTAAATCTGTAAACCATCTGTTCAGACCTGAGTGTATAGGAAGATATCCACTATGTAACGGGGAAAGTACAAACATTTCAACAATCTCTGTGTTTGCAGAAAGCGTAATTGCTACAACTGTCTTCATTTCTAATAATTCTGCATTTATCAAAATAGCTCTTCCCCCCCCCCATAACAAATGAAGCATCATGTGAAATACCCCAGCTGTGGTTCCACACTGTCGAGGAGAGCACACTTCAAGACTACCCACATTTACAGCAATGACCAGGGCTTGTCCTGCGTAACGCTCAGCTGCTGTTCACATCATTTCAGTGTAGGATGGGCTTGATTTCTTGAAGGCATTTGAAAACTTAAAAAAAAAAACACATTGTTGCTTGCTGCTTTACGGACTTCTGTTCAAATCACTGTATTTCTTTGATTCCTGTCAGGCCCTGACAGGAATAATCTCTTTTAACGCTCCCCAGTTTCACTGTTAATTAAACCAGTGAGTTCCATGAAGAAACAAAACTTAAAATACTATATTCAGAAATGTTAAAACTCAGGGCTGGTAATTAGTTGTAGGTGTGTTAACATCTGGGAGTAATTTAACAGGTTTGATGATCCCCTGACTGGTTGAAAAGCCTGCTCTACATCTTTCACTCTCTCTGAAGCAGAAGTTTTGATAACAGATCCACCTATTAAGCCTACAAGTGCACAAAAAGCTTAAAATAAATTACACACTGAGCAACTCTGACAAAGGAAAGTAACAAGTCATGTTTGGTAAGGAGAATTTAATTGAAAACAGAACCATTAAGGGTGAATCACATTTTCCTCAGGCAGCACACTGCCTATGACGCTTAAACCAATTTTACATGAGAGTAAGCCCACAGTTGAACACAGCACTATCAGCCCTGCACTTTAATGCCAGCTGACTGACACCAAATTTATTTACAAAAGACTTTAGACCTTAAAGAAGAAGCATAAGGGAACTGAATATCATTGGCAAAGGAGTTATACGTCACCCTGTTCATGTTACCACCATATAAATGATTGTACTTAATTGCAGAGCTTAGTGCATTGCCCCCATTCTGGTTTAAAAAACGCACCACATACTCCCTCATCTATCACACACGGTGAGTTATTTCCAACACCGACCACAGTGGTGCACACTGCCAATATCTACTCCTTCACGAACGGACATGGCAGTATCGCGTGAACACAGCTGCCAGACAGAAAAAAAAACACAAGATGGCATTTAGACAAACAGGCTCTCATCTTTCTTGGAAACTGTCCCAGCTTATGTGAAACAAGAGGCTACTGTACACTCCACAAAAAAAACACCACTGCATTTGCATTATATATTACTTCTGACTCAGAAAAAAAATCTTCTGGTAGCTCTGACAGTTGAGGTTCCAAAAAAAATAACTAAAATGTTTTCTGCCCATATGTACAGTGTCAGCACCATCTCTGTGTTTCCGTTTCCAGAAATTGAAACGCTTCTGCCTCGGGAGGTTAATCAACCTGTACGTCCATCTCTGACCCGTCTCTGCAGAAACAATACATTGAGCACTTCAGATTACCTAAGAACACACACAAATGAGAGGAAGGAATTCAGCCCCTTTAGCAGTTAGTAGCCAACTGAACCAAGGATCTCACCCAGCCATGTCTTGAAAGAAACCAGGGTATTGACTTCAACAAGACTGGAGAGCCTGAACTGACGGACTCTGACGGACTATACAGAGAAGTCTTGGGTCTCCCCTGATGTTTAATTGTCTGAATGATATATTACAAATTCAGTCCTTTCTGATCTGCTAAATAAAAGATTGCTTCCACAGATACCACTCTGATAAGGGGCTTGCTGTTAAATGAAAGTACTGTACTTGCCTGAAGTCCCATTTGAGAATATGTTAAGTTTTAATTTTAATAATCAGTTTTTTACAGAAGTGATGTTGGTTAGTGCTTGTAAGGGAAAGCTTTTTACACTACAAATCATTTTATGTAAACTTGTATAGTTGACACACAATTATCCTCCTGGACTTTATCACTCCACAGTATTACTGCAGTGGCTCTTGTAGTTGTTTTGTAAAGATAATCTAGATTAGAGATCATTCAATCCTTTACTACTCTCAGTCATGAAACAAAACAGGAAATTCCCTTTAAAGGACAACTTTAATTGCATGTATTTTCATGCATGTTCCGTATTCTCAAGAGAGTGTTGACTTATTTTGCAAAAGTAAAGGGTGTTTTTTTTTCCTTGGATGGAATTTACTGAGCATGCGAGTCCAAATTTGTAAAAATAATTTCAGAGCTTTTAACGTCTACTGTAATCATGTGGTTTGAAAACCGATTTGACTGAACTGTACTTTATAAAAAGCTCTTTCAATTATTACAAATATAATGGTTACGAAACTTGAGAATAACAAAAATACTGAGCGGGATCATCAAAAATTAAAATAGATACTCACAACACCCAAACTGTACAGATATGCCAAGAACATACCCAAGTGGTTGATATAGGTAAAGGCACTTGATCTTTGTAACCTGGCACAGTTCTGGCAAAGGAGTAATAAATCATTCAAACTGGGATAGATGAATACGAACAACGACAACAACAAAAACTAAAGAAAACACGACAACTCCCGGTACCTTATTTACAAACAAGGTGTTTCGGAGGCCAACGTGACCAACCAGAAAAACCCAAACTGCTAACCTAGTACTAAGATGGCTGGGAAACTCTGATTTCCTTTACAAAGAATCCCTGGGTTAAAAACATTCTCTCCTTCTTAGTGGATGCATTTTTTTAAGAAAAGTTAGATAGGGTTTAATTCACTTTAGAGCATCTGGATTTTTAAGAGAAGAGATTTAGTTCTAAACTGTATTGTTTTATTAAGGACACAGGTGTATCTCTTGCTGGCCTGAAACAACAAGGTTTAAATACTCAAATCTGGTCTGCAAGGTTGATCGAAACACGGCCTTTTCGCCCACTGCTTCTCCGATTCTGTCCACCTGTGCTTTATCCTGGCTTTTTCACTGACAGGGACTCTTAACGATTTAGCTCATCAACCCAGGTATACCAGACAGATCCATTTGATCAATGTGACTCTCAACCGCTACAGCTCAGCAAACACCTCGTCTTCGTACTCCTTGCTCTGAAGCCGAGAACTGCAGATACAGACCCCCATGACTCTTCAATCAATGACTGAAAATATTGTCATATTAAAATGATTCAGCATACAGGTATATGCTATGTAATACTATTCTGATACTATAAATATAAAGTATCTCTTAATATAAAGATAAAAATATTAAAAGACATAATATACCTCACAGCCTTTTTTAAGCCTAGGCTTATATTCAGAAATAAAGTCTTGACAAGCCAGCGGATCACTTGTGCGTGTCTAATGGCAGGGCAGTTAATGAGCCAGCCGGTATGAACAACAGCAGACACTGGTCCCTCAGGACCAGGGGGTGTTGAGAACCTCTTAGATAATTAGGAAGCCAAAGTCTGGGGCGGTTATTTTTCCTCCGAGAGGCTCTTTAAAAATAACTCTCTCCACACTGACTGCATGAGTTGTTTTCCCAGGCACCGTTCCTGCCCGGAAACTCAAAAATCAACAGGCGCGGCCTTTTTACCTTAAACCTCGTCTCTTTCCCGGCACTTGGGCGCAGGTTTATGTTGGCGCCTTTCAACTTATTGGTCAGCGTGTAGCCAATAGACAGCAGACCACGCCAGAGAGCCTGCCTGAGACGCTACTGTAATTACAGGATTTTGTATCTACTACAAAGCGACGCTGTCTCTCGTAACACCTTGCCGGGTGTCGACAATTAAAAACACAGAGAGACGTCTATACCACAGAACACACAAAAACAACAACAACAACAACAACACTGGTCGTAACAACACCCCAGCAAAGAAATCTTTTCAGGTTGCAGCGCCTGATGTTATGGAAAACACGGTAATACATTTTTTTTTGGACAGGACGCTCGTTACATTAAAGGAAAAGCCATTTTGAAAAACATTTTTGTTCGCCACACTCAGATGGAGACTGAAAAAACAATAAATAAACACCGCTCTTCACCCAATGTTTTTATCTCCCGAGGAATGTCTCCAAACTTAAAACCAGTTTTTTAAAAACCTCTGGCTTTTTAACCTGACCTTAAAAAAAATGAAGTACACAACGACGTGAACAACGCCTGTCCTCATCCCAAATTCAAATTCTAAATGTGTTCCTGCGTCTTTTTTGTGTGTGTTTGGAGTAGCGAAAACGATGGGATAGTAGTAAGTTATCGGAGATATTTCTGAGCGATACCGCTGAAAGCTCCTGGAATTTGTAGGTGATCCTTACAATGGCGGCTTTTTCTTTTTTCAATTTTGGGGACATTCGCCCCGGTGATGAATTCCACTTCGCGTTCGCTTCTGTGACGCAGCGCTCAGCAGGGAAAACGTTTTACCTTTCCGAAATGAGCAGCCCAGTGTATGGGAGTCCAGCCGTAGAAGGAGTCTTCGGCCACCAGGTCCGCCCGGTTTGCGGTGCGCTGCAGCAGCGAGCACAGGGCGCCGATATCCCCATCTCGGCAAGCCCTGTGGAGTGGGAAGCGAATATTCAGCACCTCTTCACTCGAGAATCCCGACTCGAACCCCACGGACATCGTTCCACGATAACAGAGTTCGTCACTGAGACGGAGGAGGAGGGGGGGAGACTTAACAAAATGTACAAAAAAAAAATCTTAAAAAAAACATACGCTTCTGTAAGCGCTTTAAGAGAGACGCACGCCGCGCCGCGGGCAGAGACACAACCACACACGCACACAAAGAAACCCAACCTCGCACACACTCAGAAGTGAAACTTCAAGAAACGCCATGCAAAACCCGGCATGGACTCCCATGGTAAGCAAGACGGCGGTCGACTCGCATCCCCGGCCTTACTGAGATATCCAAAGCACACGAAATCCCGACATGGATTATGTCTGCGCTCAAACCAAAACGACGGGTTGGTGGCGTTTGTTGAACGGTGATACGTTGTTACATACATAACACACTCCATGCATCCAGGAATTTTAATTTGAAAGTTTATCTTCAAAAGCGGATTAAATAAAACAGTTGAAAGATTCTCTTACTTCCTTATGATCCTATTGACCACCTTCCAGGACGAAGTTAAACAAACCAGTTCTATCACATATTCAAACGGCCAGTTTTCTTTTTAGTGTTGTGATAATTAATTCATGATAAAATGCCCGGCTTTTCAACCTGAGGTCGTGGAGGGGACGACGACGACGCAGGATCACAGACCGGGCTGGGGAGGCGGAGCCGCCGAAACTGCAGCCATTCAACAGACTGAAGGACAAGGAGCGAACAACTGACAGACTGCAAGGGGACGAATATATATTTATTCCCCCATTCAGCGAAGCATTTTACGGAAACGGACATTTAATTGAAAACTCGCCCTTGCTTTCGCGTGCCTTGCGGCGCTGGAAATAGTTGGGTGGGAGTTTTAAAAAACACCGACTGCATAAATTCATGCTATGTTCTCACCTGGAAGATGGGTTAGTCAGAGTTGCCGCACAAAATAATACACAACATTCTTCCAGGACTTCTTCAGCGTGAAATATTGCAAACTATTTGTCTTTCTTAAGTGTTTATTCACAAGCTAGGCATCAGACAGATTTGACAGAAACAAATCTGGCTATCCCCACTCCTTATAATCTATTATTCAGTTACGTGCGAAATTAAATCAAATATACTATTTTTAGAAACTAAATTTGGACATCCAGCTTGTCCACTGAGAAATTGTGATATGAACGCATTACTTCCTGCAAGATTAACAGGACGGAAAAAATGCTAATGATCTTAATATCATTAAGCATTTTTAGAACAAACATAAATTTAGCAACTTAACTTTTCCTGTATAAAACAATTACCGACAGCAGTTCTTAGCTCATCACAAATGTACACATCCCCCCCCCAAATCCCACTCTTCTCTATAACAGAATTTATCTGTTAAAAATGAAAATATTCTAAAAAATAATATGAAAAATTTTGGTACTATCGCAAATATTTTAAGTATTAAACGTTTTCTTAGCTCATACCTTGACTGCTAGTTAAAGCAGCCAAATTATCTTGACGGGCCACGTTGCCTCCTTCAGTTTGTATGATTTCTAACGTTTTAACTATGCAAAAATGCAATTAATTAAACTGTTTTTCCATAGTGCATGGGTTATCCCAGGAAAAGCTAAGCCATTGCAAAGTATTTGTAGGACAGAAAGAATGATATAAGGGCTTATTTAAAATATGATTGAAAGAAGTCTCTCCAGAAAACGTGCTTTGTTTTGCTTCTCTCATTACCGGCAGTGTTGAAGATATATCCAGAAAGAATATATTCACAAACTTTGGTGTGTTTCTAAATTATGTCAGTCCCTCCTTTGTAACGTTAAAGCTTTGCTTAATGTTAAGGTAATCAATTCAGCTAATTGTGAATCATTACAAAACAAACACATTTTCAAAAATAGTGTTCAAGCTTATTTTTAGAGTACAGTAAAAAAAAAAAAAAAATGAAAAGATTGCAGAAAACTGATTTTTTTATTTCAGTTTTAAAACTCCCAGTTTTAAATTTGACCGATGGACTCCACAGCTACCCCTGATGTTGACACGAAGAATTGTTTGGTCTTTGTGTTCAAAGTCGCCACCATCCAATTCTTCAGAAAGCAAACAAAAAAAGTTTCTTAATTTCTAATGTATACAGAATATAATAAAACACCAAAGCTGTACCCCATTACCTAGTGACACTCAGATGAAAATAGAGGAAAAACAGAAATTGTTTTAATAAACAGTGTTTAACACTACATAAATCAGTTTCACACATCCTGCATTGGACATTAAATTACACACATTCCCAAACAATGCGATGTAAGAACACATTTGGAATAATCAAATTTATTTTGAAGTTTCACGTTCAAAACCAAAGTTACAGCTAACAATTTCAGAACCTTCTATGATTAAGTCTGGGATGCTGGTTTAGAAAAGCTGCTGATGTCTGATTGGCAGGCAGGAGAATGGTGAAAAACAACTTGTCTTCACATTTTTCCGATGGTAAAACACATTTTATCACATACAAAGTATGGCAAGTGTGAGTTTTTCCACACATATGTAATGCAGTACATTCAATTTTACTATGAAGCACCCTGGACTCAGCCCGCATGTATTTGAAACATGACTGTTGTTCCAGCACAATGAAACAGAACCCAGAGAGAAGATGTTTGTGTAAATTTGGCTTTAAAACAAAGCACTCATGCCAGGTTGCAGATGGGTGTTAGCATTGTGTTATCCATTTATCATCAACACATGTTTTTCCTTGACAGATTTCCCTTAAAGGAAATCAGGCAATGTTTTGTTCTTGCAGCGTATTGCTCAGTAATATTGCTGTGTTACTGTTTGTGTTAGCATATGTACAGTGAAGGGTTTAAGCATATAGTGCCGATAACTTCAAAACCACATAAATATTTCAGGTGTGCTGATTGCTGGAAGAGTTCCCCATGGGACGCAGAATAAAAATAATGAATCCACAATGAAAAATGACTGAAGTAAATAAGCACAGTTCAGAAAGAATTCCGGATGAAAGCTGAGAAAGAAAAACAAGCCAAATAAAAAAAAATACATCATTTTAAAAGCAGTACAAGAAGCTGATTACTGACTTATGGTTGTCACAAACATTTCTTCAATCATAGCCGACTGTGTTATGACTAATGATTTTAATTAAAAAAGTTTAGTTTGTGTATTTATTGCCAATAATATGATTATAACAATAAGACAAGGAAGGAGACAAAAACAAGTCTGAAATGGGAGGTAAGTGGTGGGAGAGATGAAAATCATATGAAACAAACTCAGGTGATTTTTGTTTTTTAAAATGTATGCTTTTAGAATTCATCATTTTAATGTTAAATTCATAGCCTTGTCAGTGTCACTGCAGGATGAAATGAGTTCCTTGCAACATGTAACATGCTTGGAGATCCTTTAGAATAAATGTGATTACTATTAAGTTGTTTTCTTAAATTGCCCTCCCGGGGATGAATAAAGTATTTTGAATTGAATTGAATTATCATCAGATAAGAAGGTGATACACAAGTATTTTCCTGATTGCCAGGAAGCTGGCAGCAGCTGTGCTAAAATGTCACAGACTTCATCATACAAGGTGCTGAAATGCAAATACACATAAAGTTTATACAGTTGAGGTAAATATTATTCAGTCACTGTAACCTTCCATTAATCTACTTCCTTCCAAGAATATCGTTTTAAATAAAGTTTTGGATTTGATCCATATTCTTCTCTTCATTTAATTCGGGTGTCAGAGCCTACCTTGGCAACCAACAGGTACAACACAGGATATGCCCTGGACAGGACACATATCCATTACAGGGCACACAGTGACACAAACACGAAAAACCACACTAGGGCCTATTTACCCTATTTTATTGTAATGACAATAACTAGTCGTTTATGCCTGTAGGGTGGTGTGTGATAGAAGCACCAGATTTAATTGGCTGTGCTTTTATTTTAGATTAAAGAAAAGCTGAATTTCACTACCTTTCTTTAGGATGTAGTCTTATAGTCTCTACAGTTCTTAAACCTCTCAGCCTCTTTTCTAAAGCACAAGTGTCATGTCCTGACATGTAATTGTCTTCTGGGCTTCATGGTGATGTGTCTTTTTTCTGTCTTGTGATTATTTCACCAACAGATCGCATGTCTCTGTCCGTAAGGATAAGAAAAACTGCAAGGTGAACTAATCATTATGTTATGAAGAAAGGAATTTTGTTAGCGGTAGGCTTATCCAAAAAGACCCATTTGAAAATTACAAGTTTAACCCCGTTGTTCCATGTTTTTAATTTAAGATCCCAACATGAAATTTGTCATCACCACCAGAAACGTTGTTGTGTTTGTTATTCTCAGCGGTAGTAGTACTATTTGTAGTAGCAATAGGAAGGAATAGTAGATGTTAAAATATTTTAGAAAGACACAAATTATATTTTAATCATTCTTATATATAAAACAGATATGATACATGTTGTTACACAACACTATGAATTCCCAAATTAAAGCCAAATAGATCTAGAATAAAAAAACAATCCCTTAACGGAAAATAATTTTGTAAAACGATTTTCGCTGCAAGGTCTCCCTCGTGTGGAAACAGAAATAATTACACGGCGTATAGTTTTGTCGAAAACTCTAACATTTTATAGATTAAGAATATTAGTATAATATTAAATAATTCATATTTTCAAGTGTCTAATATCTTAAAGTATCCTTTGCTTATAGTTTGTGTTTGTCAATTTATTGATCGTAACAAATAAACGATGATTACCATTTGTTGTATAAGAGTTCTTTATCGCTTTGTAAGCATTGCTTTTGCAGTATAATTAAATCGAAATCAACGAATTTCGAAAAGAAAAATCACATCTAGCTAATAAGGTGGTGGTATGTTCCAGTGTTGGTCCTTACATAAATGTAACTGCATTTTCATTGTTATTTATTCAAACTTTTATTTAAAAAATATTATCTAGCATTCTGCAAAAGCGAAACAACAACATAGAATGCACAAAAATATTCACAATACATAAAACAGCTTAAACTGCCATTGTGTGAATAAAACATTTATTGACGATTCATTTGTACATACCCGCCTCCTGAGTGAGTATAGGAAAATATTTTCACATAAATCTCACTTTAATGTATTAAATCGATTATCAGAAATGTATGTATTTAACCGACAGTTTATAAAGCATGTAGTCTGGCTCATTCACAAGTTCTGTTAGGAAAGCATTGAAGTCAAACCGTGGAACAAAATAGGACAAAACAGGTCGTTTTAAGCGAAAAAGCATACTAGGAGTCTCCACAAGGCGGCGGACTTTCGTATCCAAAAGCATTAAGGTGCTATATCTGAAGCTTTTTTGGGAGATGCGTAAATAATTTGAATTACCCTTTAATTAGAAAAATATTTTGAACGCCCACTATCATTTTTTGTAAATATCAGTGATGTGTTTTTCGAGGTTCGAGATTGTCAAATTATAACACAAATACTAAATCAATAAAATACACTACAGGCAACACAGGGGTGAGAACTATTCCCAGTTCAGGTTTACCCCCACACAAAACAGTGCCTTTCCTTTCACAAAAGCAAAATGCTAGAGGTTTTGCATATCCAGATGCTGCCATCCTATTTCAAAGGCCACACATGTAAAACCATGCAAAAGTATTCCTGTCCCATGCAAATATACCTCTCTGATTACCATTGTAAGTGGCCATGTCGCTTTTCCGTGTCCATGATGTCATCTGCCGGAAGATCACTTGTGGGAGGCAATGCAGGTTGTGTGTATAATAGAGAAAGGCATTTGACAGCTGGCCAAAACAACCCCAGAGGAAAGCAAAAACCGACCTGCTGGATTTTCAAAAGCAAATCGTCATCATCTGCATCTACATGGAGAAGGAGGGATCAGCCGTAGTCTCTGCCCCGGACCTCACACCAATGTAGAGAGGAAATGTTTTAATTGGAATATATATTGATACATCTACCCACATAACTAATTTGCCCCCCGTCTCCCCCCCCCACCCCCACCTCCTCCCAATTGGATTTGCATCGTGAATGCTGCCATGAATTCAGCAGAGCAAACCGTTACATGGCTTATTACTCTGGGGGTCCTGGAATCGCCGAAAAAGACCATCTCGGATCCAGAAGGATTTTTGCAATCGTCTCTGAAAGATGGTGTGGTCCTGTGCAGACTGCTGGACCGATTGCGCCCTGGTTCTATCGATAAAGTAAGGACATTTACCATTCTTACCCGCTCCCAGCTACAGTGCGCTGTGTTTTTGTCGCGTAAACCCTATCGATGGCGTCCGGAGAATACAAAATATCCCCCTTTAATGCCCCGTCTCGGTCAATGTTTCTTTTTAGGTCATGTGTCTGGTAGTTATTGTGCTCCTACTGCAGGCTAACTGATATAGCACAGATGTCAATAACGCAACGCGAGAGGGATTACCGTATTAGACGCTAACAATAGGTGCTATTATATATCATAGGTACAAACTATATCTACAATATCCATAAATCATTGAATGTGAGGTAACCCTCTTAAGAACCGATGCTGGTTCTAACACTGGGAAATATACCCTTTCAACATTTTTTTTATTTATGAAATTGCACTAGACAAGAACATAGGGAATGTGTTTTAAACACGATTTTAAAAGAATGGAATCCCCTTTTTATGTTGCTTTATTTACTTGGAGGTGATGCGCTGACAGAGGACAGAATTGCGCCAAATCAAAATCGACTATTGATTTTTTTTTACGTGTGGAGGGGATACGATCCCACATGAGCAGGCCGCCATTGACTGGAAAAGCGCACACAGTATGTGACGACCCTCGGAAATTTTAAAGGAACAGTTCCATTTTTGAGGGTACGGCTGTCTACCAGAAGGTCAGACCGCATGTGTCAGACTTGTTTATAGTGCTGAACAATTGAGCTTACTGTTACGTTTTTACAGTAGCCTGTACTACAGTCTACAAACAAATTGCTTTGATGTAGGCTATCGTTTCCAACAGATTATTAGGTTCCTTCTTGGAGCTAAATGGAACTCCCGTCGTGTTCTTTCAGTATTGGTCTTTCTTTAATTTCCTCAATATCATGTACTGGGTCTTAACGAGAAATGTACCTGAATAATCTCTGGAATGCAGTTTGGTGATTTTATCTTCAATCACGACAGGTGAAATGACTAATTTTATTGCATGAACATTGCATTAAACAAACCTAATGAACAATGAAACAAAATTGTTTGAAAAAAAGGCTAAAGCCTACATCATGAAAAAAGGTGAGATTTAAATTTGCATTTGCTGCTAAAAACAAGAGGACGTAAGATCCTAGTGTACAGCACACAAATGCGGAATGAAAATTTACAATAATTAATGCCATTAGTACAGGCTTCCTGCTTTGGTCATTTTGAGGGCATACCTCAGGTTAAAACTAGCCTTTTTTGAACAATTAAAATCCTTTAAACATATAAATCAAATCAATTTTAATATCACAAAAGTACATCATCATCCATGTATCCAGATATTAACTTTTATTATTGAAGAATCCTTGTGTATTAGAAGTAGGAGATCCACAAAGACGACAACAATATAAAGCAGAGAAACTCAATGCAGTCCAGCATCCATCTGTAACAGCAGATGCCCCCCAATTGTGACAGCAAGGTGATAACTATTATTTTTGGTTTAGAATCAGGCTATTTGTATTTGTGATTGTGGGATTGATGTGGCTTCACAGATGAGATGATGACTTCCGGAGCATCTGCAGTTTCTATTTTTTCGCCACACTTAAACTTAGGTGAAGTTTTGGTTCGGTCTGATTCTTTCTGGAAGTTATGTTCCCCAAATCTTCTGCCTGAGTTTTGTACTTCTGAGCAAATTTGGAAACATGGTGAAACATTCTGGCTTCACATCTGGCTCATTGGTCTTTGAAGGCACTGATGGCAGCGGCAGAATGAATTCTGAAATATTTCCGCTGAATATGTAGAGGAAGGTCATGCCCTGTGCCCACTGCTTGCTGGGATAGGCCCTGGCTCCTCCGCGATGGATGCAGAAGAAGATACTTACGTAGTTGTTGGGCAGCACTTTACCATGCAGCATGACCACAACCTAAAACATACAGCCCATGCAACAACTTTTATCATTGGGAGAAAAAGAAAAGTCCTAGACTGACCAAACCAATATGGTTAAGCCATGTTTCCAGCTGACCAGCATTTTGCATGATGACGAAAAAGTTCAGAACAAAAAAAGTCCCAACACCTCAGGAAAAATCAAGAAACCTGAGTTACTGAAGCAAAGGCTTAATGAAGCCCCTCAGATGATCACGCAGATACCTGGGTGATCTCAGTGGGTTGCAGGCCTAATGTGGTCATTGCCTCAAGGGGAAATGGTGATAATATGTACTGACTTTTACACTCTGAAATGTACTTAAAGTGAAAGTGTCCCAATACCTTTGGTCCTTTGAAATCACCGGGTTCAACAAAAAGTATGTTTTTCGCACTAATATGACCACGTGTGCGTATGACATGATCTAAAAATAAAATGTATAGTGTATTACATTGTATGCATCTCTCATATTAATTTCCTGTTCTTAAATACAAATTGCTTGACTGTAAAGCAAAAGCAATAGCCTTGACTATGCTGTCCTTGTGTTTTGGGGGGACACTGCAAGTATTTTTTCCCCAAAACTCCGTTCATTTCTCACAATTCTATTACTTTTATATGTATAATGTTTCAGATTAAGGAAGCATTTAATGGAATTTAGAAAAACCAACAACAACAAAGTAGATGGATGGATTTCAGACAAAGGCAAGCTCGAAACTTGATCTACATGTATACAAATATTGCGTAAGAACGAAAAACGTTTTCTTGTAATTCTATTGCGAAGGCCAGGACTGGGAAATTCAAGTTAAAAATAGTGCGCGCAAGGGACATATATTGATTTGATTCGCATTTGATTTTTTTTTAAAAAGGGTGATCTCTATAATAGAGGCGTACGAATGGCCTAAATAGATTTTACATGCCAGCGAGAGACGGCTGAAGTTGCGCATTCCCCATTCACAACAGCCAGAGCCTTTTTGTCCTCGCCTGCTTCATGCGGTGAAGTCCCTTCTGCTTTCCCTGCTGGTGTGTTGTTGTGGAATCATATCAGCAGACGTCATTTCCTTTCTCCTATGTCCACTTCCCGGTAAAAGAAAAATGATATTTTCCAAGGAGAGATGCTACCTGAAATGAATAGCAGTATAAAGAAAACAGTGAACATATAAGTGGGTTGCGATAAAGATACAAACTCGAGAGTTACGCCTGGCGAATAGAGACACGCATCGGGATTAGCCTCACAACTACCCCTCATCTCCCTGCACAGATTTACCAGGAAGCGAGGAACGATAGCGAGTGTCTGAGCAACATCAGGGAGTTTCTCAAAGGCTGTGGTTCTTTTCGAGTGGAGGTGAGTTCCTCTTAATTTTTTTTTTCACACGCCCTAAGTTGGCATACTGCTTTTTTGTGTGTGTCAACGACATATGTGTAAAGGTCTGTTTTATTGTTCACACTTGCGCTGGGACATCTACACAATAGCAAAACACGTACAGGACGAGGGTATTGTCCCGTGGATGGAAGGACTTGAGACTGAGACTGATTGTAAATTGTTGGAAAGAATAGAGACAACTGCTCCTTCGAAGATCCATCGATTAATCTGCTGCAGACCTCTGTTGATCTTGAGGTAGTTTGTAAAGCATTATCAAAAAATGTGATGATACATTTCTGTTCGATGCATTGTTGTTAGGAGCAGCTATCGGATGCTTTACGCTGAAAATGTATTTTTGTTCCCTGTGACCGTCTCGCTTTTTTTTCGTTTTGTATGTTTGATGTTAAAGCTTTGCCCTGTTATTAAGTTGTCAAGATTCACTGGCTTCTGCATGTCAGGATGTCTAGCTCTCAATGTGATGTGCCATATGTGCTTTGAATGCATGGAAGCCTAGCTTTATCACTGAGTTTATCATACCGAAGCAATTCAGAAAAGGAGTTGGCACATGTCAGAGCCCACTTGTGAGCCTCTGAAGCTCCAGTGTTCTTGACGTGAACTGCTTTCCAGTCTGCATTCTACCTGAATGGCCTGGATCGCCAGTGAGCACTGCAGCTTCCAGCTCCTGGGCTCTTGATTCCAGCCATCTGTGTGGAGTTCACATGTCCCCTCTGGGACTGTGTGGGCTTTCTCCAGCCATTGTGGTTTCCTCCGAACTCCCAGGGACACGCAGATTAGGTGTGATTGGCTGCCCCAAGGTGTTTCCCAAGGTTTTGACCCCATTCCTGTTAGCCGACTGTGACTGACAATGCTGTATGTCAGTCGCACATGGCACGTGTTGTACTGTACTATATGTACTGCTGGTACTGCATTAGATTCTTCTGCAAAAAAGATGCATCTCACCAGTTCTAATCGCCTTTAAAGACCGATCTGCAAAACATTTTGAGAAGATAAACATATGTATTTATTAGTTCAGGTGGGCAGCTGCGTCAGCATACGTAGGCTACAAAGGAACAAGTAATAGGTTTATTCAGTGCTGAAAAGAGACGAAAGAAAACAGGGTTTTGGCTGTGGAGCCTTCTGTCTCACCCAAAGAAGGCTCCACAGCCGAAACATTGTGTTTTCAGCATGGAATAAACCTATTACTTTTTCATATGTATTTATTTCTGCTTATTTTTAACTGTTTGTTAGTACAGACATTAGTAGCATTTCAGCTGCTTCTCTGAGTGATAGGTATATGATGTATCAGGTATTATTTTTAATTATTTTGTACTTAATTAATTAAGTACCCGCTGTCATGACTTACCCTCTAATGTGTAGATGGGTTTTCCAGGCCCGGAGGAAAACAGTTTCCATTGTTTTTTTTATTTTACTCCAGCACCTCTTTGTCTCTTTGAACTAATTATTTGGCCTAATCAACTGTTAAAAAATCACCCCTTTTTTTAGTTAAGTTGCTATTTAGAAACTTCCTGACAAACCCGTTCTGACCTTCAGAAAACAGATGAAATATAATCCTGGCATGAATGCAAATTCAGAATAGGGTAAAAAAACATGTCTGAGCTTGAATATTTTGCCTTCCAAAGCTGATGAGAGGATTGAAGGCTGCATACTTCACAGAATAGTACTGCTTTTCCTTACAAAAAGGTAATTTCCTTTGGAGACAGTAGAATACCGAAGGCAGTTTAGTAATAGGTACTGCAGGTAGCTCTGCTGGAATATTGTGTTTTCCTCATCTGCTTTGTTTGTGTGTAAGCATTAAGTGCCACTTAAGTAAAAAATAAGGGTAAATGTCATGCCAAAATATTAGCAAGTGCACACTTAGCAATTCAGATGTTTGCAGCACTGTAAAAATAATTAAATTCAGATATGTACCTCCGTATTACACCTTTTTGATTGATTATTGCAAAAAGACGAGTGGATATCAAATCTTTTTATATACATGGGAGAGATGGTTGAAGAGATTACACTGCAAATCATGTACTTAATTTTCAGAAAGTTCCTCTTCGCTGGGAAAACGAAGTGCCCTTTCTATTTGCTGTGTCAGTCCATCCAGTAAAGAAGATTTAGGTTGTTGCCTTAAAGCATGTGTTTCTAGATAATTTAAAATGTTTACAGTAATTATAGTTTTATGCTCTGTTTAATGCTCTGTCATTTGATTACATTGTGTGGCTTTTCAATGTAGCACTTTTCGGAACAATCTTCCACCTTAAAAAAGAGTTAACCGGTACTCACATAATGGCTCCTAGATTGCTGTTTTCTGAAAGCCTATGTAGTTGTGAATTTTTTGTATGCAGGACATCAATGTATTGACATGAAACGCAGGTGAGGCTGCATCATACCTGAAGCCCCGCACGTGATTGTGTGGGGTTTTTGAAACAATGGCCAGGCTGTTAAAGCTGTTGCCATGCAGCTTTGACATCCTGGGTTCGATTCTTGATAGCGATGCCTTCTGCATGGAGTTTGCATGTTCTTCTCCGGTTCCCAGGGGTTTTCTCTGCTGTCTGTGAATTGTCTCTTGGTGTGTGCCGTGTGGCAGACTGGGGTCCCATTCAGCACGTCGACCTGCCTTGGACCTGCCGTGCTCCAACAACAGGCCTTGGGTTGCCACAACCTTCAGCAGCAATGAGCATCTTTCTAATTATGGATGAGATGAAGGGCTGTTCTCTTTTTTTTTTCACAACTTTTAAGCAATCAGATTAGTTCCGCTGCAGTCCCACGGTTGTCCACGCCATTTTTCTTAGTTTTAACAAGCAATTCTCTGTTTTTTGGTATGTGAAAAATTGGTTTGTTTCACCGATTAAGGGGTGTCTACAATGTCCGTTAAGGGACCTGACATATGGTCGGGAAAAGTTTTAGGCGGCTGTGTTCTGACAATTGTGCCCTTTGCAGTCTGTCTCACAAAGCCAGCTGTGGAGAAAGCAGACAAGCTCTCTTTTGTACTTTCGTCAAGCGGGAGCTGAGATGGTAATTCTTTAGACCTCATTAATTCAACTAGCAGTTCCTAACACTGAGGACATTTCAGAAACGGACCGGAATTTAAGGTAGAGCAAAGAGACTAGAAGCGAGAGCTCTGATAACTTATCTTTCCCCCGAGAAGTGGGTTTTAATTCATAACCAAGGTAATGAGCACCAGGAATGTCCATCTTCATGTCTTTTTTGAAAAAAAATAGAGAGCTGGCTTTTTTCTTGTTCCAAGAGTCATTCCAAAATGGACATAGCAGAGTGAATGGGACATCAGGAGGACAGATAGACAGATTAAAATTCTTAGTCCTGGCATAAGAGGTTACTGTTCTGTGACAAGCTGAGTGAGCATTATAGGGCATTTTGGAATATCTCATCTCAGGTTTTCCCATAATTGCCCATATATCGTAGTCTTGTGGAGCATATGTTTGTGAGGAAACGATTCACATTAATATCTCAATAGGTTTGTTTTCACTTATCCTGACTTCTTTGAAGACAGTATAGCTTCTGACCAGCACAGGCATCAAACACACAAGACACAAGTGTGTTAGGATTTGATGACTCTAAAGCCTTTAATATTTTAAAAATCTGAATATGAGTCTTTCTGAAAGACCATTTTGGTTTGTTTTTATTGGTTGTTATGATGTGCTGTACCTGAGCTTTGGAAAACTCTCAGCACAGAGCCAAGCCGACATTTTCCTTCATATCTCCTCTACTGGTGGGACTGTGTCCAGGGTTAGCTTGACAGAAACTTTGCTACTCCTGGCAGTGTCTAGGATCTTGAAATTGCCAGTACCCTACCGGCAGGCTTTACAGTTTTGCGCCTGCATGTGCAGTTCTCTGTGCTGTAAGGAGTTGGCCGTGAGTGAGGGATCTTTGCCTGATGCGCCGTCAGTAGTTTGAAAACATACAGTTTCTCTGGTAAACGTGTATTGCGATAGTTTCATAAATCACATCCAGCCTGAGTCAGAATGACTTACTGTAGTGGAACTAGATGTCTACAGGGGGCAGCACTCATGCTGTTCTGTCACTGGTATCCTGGTAATTCTTTTGTTTGTAAGAACATTCACTGACAGAGTGCCTGATTGCCCAGACAGAGGCATGTGAGTGGCAGTCGCTGGGTTTACTGGGCTGGAGTCAGCTGGGGCCCTGGACCTGCCCTGCAGCAGTGTCCTAGTGATGGCCTAGTTACCTGGGACCTGGCAATACCATGGGTGCTCTTGCTCTTGTGTGGCGCTGTGTAGCTCACAGCCTTTGAGGCGAAAGGGATCTCAACGGTGGGCGTGCATGTTCACTCATCTTGACCAGTAGGGGGCGCTCACCCTGCCGTCTTGTGGGTCCTGATGCCCTAGTATAGTGATGGGGGACACTATACTGTAAAAAGGTACCATAATTTGGCTGAGACGTAAAACTGAGGTCCTGGCCTTTACCAATCATGGCCTCCTAATAATCTCCATCTGTGAGCTGGCTTCATCACTCTGTTCTCCTCCCCACTGATAGGTGGTGTGTGGTGAGCGTTCTGGCGCACTATGGTTGCCGTCGCATCATCCAGGTGGGGCTGCACACTGGTGGTGGTGGAGGGGAGTCCCCATTACCTGTAAAGCGCTGTGAGTGGAGTGCAGACAAGCGCTCTCTAAGTGTAAGGAAATATTGATGATCATTACTATCTTGTGAAGGTGCTCAGTCTGTAGTGGTGAGCCAGTCTCTTCAACAGCTGATGACTAAAAATTGGGATGGCACAAAACAGACCAAAATATTAACGATTTCAATTGAGAACAAACAAGAATAACAAACAGTGTAGAATGAAGCTGCCAGCTCATGACGGAAAGCAAGGCAGTTTTTTTTTTTCCAGCTAGGTAAGAGCAAATTTGCGGTTCCTTACAAATATCGTTCACTTCCAGTTCATTCCAGGTCACCCGTGCAAGTCCTGTTTGGCACTTTGCATCACTGTTACTTGCAAGGCT